TTGTTCAGAAATTCTAACATGTCCATTTTATTTTCTGCTGGTTTCTCTGCCTCCCTCTTTAAGTCAGCATAGTCGTTTCTCATACGTTCTATCTCTTTGACGGAGTAGTTATATTTCCTAATTGCTGCTTTACATTTTGAACATTGCGGGTTCATTTTAGCATTGTACATTGAAATCTTACCTGCTAGTATGACTAAGGCGTCAATGGTTTTCTTTAACTCAAAAGTTGCTGGTTTTATCTGTTCGTTCCATACTTTACCTCTTTTATCTTTATCTCTTATCTGCCATACACATTTTGCAACTAACGAAACAAAGTTGTCGTAGGTCTTAAACTCTTCAGATTTATATATGTCAGAGATGTTCTTATATACCATGTCGCAATCTTTGTCCATGACTTTGTGGTTGCAATGAAATCCAAGAAACTCATAGTTAACCTTACGTATGAACTTCTTTATTTCTACTGAGTCAGTTGCTTTGACTTCTATTTCATCGAATTCTGGAATAGTAAGCTTTTGTTGTTGGATTTCAGGCAATTTGGGTAAATGGTCAATAATATCCTGCATTTCATAAAGATACTGTTCATTTGTTTCATCTTTCGCACTACAGTCTAAATTACTTGTTAAAAGTTCTTGCTTTATCTTCTGGATTTCTGTCTCAAAAGTATATGAAGAAGGAATGAAGCTTTTCATCTCTACTAACATTGAAGTTGGGTTCATGACTAACGAGTTTGGTGCTGTTGTTGCTAACATGTTCTTACAATAAAAATAAAAAATATTTTTTTAAAAAAACCAACTTTATTTTTTATTTCGGGAAAACTCATGACAAATTCAAGAGGGTAGAAAAGAGGTTAGAAAAGAGGTTATATCTAACCTTCTACCCTAAAATATATTTTTGCCGAATTCTGTATAAAACTCATGACAAATTCATGAGGGTAGAAAACGGGGTAGAAAAGAGGTTAGATATACCCATCTACCCTAAATTATATTTTTGCCGAATTCAGCAACAAAATTCAAATTGTAAACGGTTTAATAGAAAAAGTGTTATTTTTTCATGTCCGAAGACTCGAAGGTGCAACACTTCCAAAATACCGACGAACTCAGAAGAGCAGCATGGCAGTATGTTCTTGACAACTTCTTTGAGTTCTCCAGGAACACCTTGGAAAATGCTGAAGAACTCCGACACAGAGAATTTGGAGAAATTGCACTCCAATACTACCTTGACAAACAAAGGGTAAACAAAGGGTAAACAAAGGGTAAAATAAGACTAAAAACTTAACGTTTAAAAAGTGACATTTTTATGAGCTCCGAGTCACCGAGAAAACTTGGTCAGATGTTAGCAGCTTACTTCCCTGAGGAGGATGGAAGCGTTACATACGTAAGGTTCAAAAACAACGAACCTGGAATTGCGTACCAAATTCGCAATTACATGACCATGGAAGAGTACGAAAGGTTTCTACAAGAGAAACCAGCTCTAAACAACTCAGAAAAGAAAGAATAAAAAGTTTAACTCGTAATTGTTTATTTTTTTACTTGTATGGGCAAGCTGCAAGAATGAAGTCGACTATCTCAGTCTTTGTCTTGACCAGTTGGACTGCTCTTGCGAGTACGTCTGTTTTGCGGTCTCCAGCTGGTGTCTGACCTTCGTAATTGCGCATGTTCTTGAGAGCTCCAACTGTAAATGGCTGTAAGATGAAGAGTCTCTCAGACTGCTTGAGGTAGTCTTCACGGTCACGAACCGAATCTGTGGTACGAGTCGAATTGGTCGACCTTAGGGAAGAGACTGAAAGCCTGTCATCTTCCATAGGGGCTGTGGCATACTCTTTGCGTAAACGGTTCAGACCTTCTTCGAACTCTTGGTCTCTCTTCGATTGGGATTGAGATTGGAATTGGGGTGGAGGGTTTGACATGAACATCCAAGGGTTAGGGAAGTAAGGCATGGGTTGAGGAGGGTAGTTTGGAAAGCCTTGTGGTGGGTAGTTTGGAAAGCCTTGTGGTGGGTAGTAACCTTGAGGTGGAAATTGGTAGTAATTCGGAGGTCCTTGTTGGAACTGAGGTTGCTGAGGAGACTGTTGTGGTGCTGGAGCATGCTGTTCCTCTGGCTGTGGAACGGGTTCAGTAGGTGGGACGTCGGACATTCGTTTGTGTCTTAACCGTCTTTGTTCTGAAACAATATAATATTGTCTTGAAAAAGTACAACATTGTCTTGAAAAAGTACAACATTGTCTTGAAAAAGTACAACATTGTCTTGAAAAAGTACAACATTGTCTTGAAAAAGTACAACATTGTCTTGAAAAAGTACAACATTGTTCTGAAAAAGTTCAAGACTTGTTCTGAAAAAGTACAGCTGTACTCAAATTTGAGAGACATTGTACTGAAATACAACATTGTTCTGAAAAAGTACAACATTTTCTGAAAAAGTACAATATTGTCTTGAAAAAGTACAACATTGTCTTGAAAAAGTACAACATTGTCTTGAAAAAGTACAATATTGTACTGACTCAGTATGGAGCTTGACCCCTTAGACGAAGCAATTTATCTAATTGAGGTAAATGAAACCGTGAAGGAATATCTCAGCAAGTGCAAACCAAGCAAGTCCATTGGCTTCTGGTTGTCCAAGAATAGTGTCTTAAAGTTGGAAATTGAAACAGGTGTTGCAATTCAAGTTCCAGAAGGCACTGCATTCGATGATATTAAGGATGTGAAGAAAGAAGCCCTCTTGAAGTTCTTCATGAAACGTCCTTGGATACTACTTCCATATCGTGAGAGCCCAATTCCACGAATTACACAAATTCTCAGAGCACTACTTCACTACTCTGGACAGCCGTTCTTCATAACCTCAGAAGGCGACATCCAACCAATTCTTCAGCCAGTTCAGTAAACATCTCATTTTAACTTCACTTTTTTTTATGTTTTTACTCACACTCGTACTCAACAGGTTTGTGTACAACTATTTCAACTGTGAACCTTGTATTGACCGGTCTTCCTGCAAATGCAAGTTCGGTCAATACACAATTTATGGTGGCAAGAAAGACAGTGGGGAATGTTATTCTGACATCTGTTGTTGCGCTCGAGAGAGAATTGAAATTCCAGACCCACCTCCCCCAAGAACTCCAACACCAACACTCAAGTTGCCGAAGACTCATGTGAAGAAGAAGCCTTCTGGTAAGTTTCTTATAGCCATCTATATGGCACGCTTTGAGTAAAAACATTTTTTTTTCTTTTTTGAATGAAGCAAGTTAAATTCGTCCCACACCAATCTCAATGGACCGATGAAGAGTTTCAAGCTATGGTTGAAGGTGTTGAGAACGACATAGACGGCGAACTTGAAGGAGCTCAAACCACAATTGCAACCAAAATTGCACAAGTCAAGGAACAGATAGCTCCACTTAAAGCTACCAAAGCTACTCTTGACCTCATGGATAGTTACCGTTTAGAAGTAAAGAGTGGAATAAGACAATTAAAATTAAAACTTCTAAACTACGAAGCTATACTCCAAAAGTTAGCAGAAATGAGAAGACTTTACCAGAGCTACTTACATGTAAGGGACTTACCTTCAAGCAGTCCGACCAAAGATGAATTTTCTGACATTGTCCCAATTTTGTCCGAAAGTCAGCTCAGATGTTTGAACTGCTCCCAACATATCCAGAATATGAACGTTTGCCTGAACTCTTCCGCAATCTCAAAAAACGTTTTTTGGTTCTCATGTTCGAAACTTTTATCGGAAGAGACAACAAACGTTCAGAAGAAGAACAAGATATTATTTTAAACTTGTTGTATGACATAACGTCATAACAAGCTTTTTGAAGTAAAACCGCCATTCTCAAACCACTTCATTTTTTCGATGTCCGAACAAGCACCGAAGCCAAACTCAATGGCAGATGTCCTTTCAATGTTGCCAGAAAGCGCCCAGTTCAAATTCAAATTGAATTTGAAAGCTCATCTGACAAACACCGTGAAGACTCTCCAAAGTAGTCTTATGGAAGAGATGACCAAGCTCAAAGCCGATGTCCTCATGAACCAAGCTTCCAATGAGAAATGCCTGAATGATTTGACGGAAACCTTGCGCATTTACGAGAGAGAGAACCGAGACCTTGCCAGACTCATCTACCGTTTCTTCGAAGAGATAGACGCCATCTGGAAGGTACTCGGAAAGGACAGAACATGCAACACCGTACTTCGTGAACACAGAATTGAAGAAGGAATTGTCGAGGAAGAAGAGAAACACGAAGAAGAGGAAGAGGAAGAAGAGGAAGAAGAGAAACACGAAGAAGAGGAAGTTTGGGCAACCCTTGTTGCCGATGACACTTACGAAATTTCCCAACCCTACCCATACCAAATCCGCAACAAGGAGACAGGCAAGGTTCTTACCCCAGTCCTCAACAACTTGGGACACTTGAACCTTACCCTTCGGAATCTCGGTTCAATTTCCATGGGCAAGCTTGTCGCAATTCAATGGGTTCCAAATCCAAACAAGAAGACGAAGGTCAGACACATTGACGGTGACAAGCTCAACAACCGTAAGGAGAACCTCGAGTGGTTCTAAGAGTAAAAAAATTTTATTTTAGGGGGAAACCCCGAGTAAATTTAGGTGTTTATTTAGTTAAGTAGCTTAAATTAAGGGTAATTTGGACAATTAGCTCCCGACCTCTGAATTGGACTCTTTCGTCATCCCAGTTGCGTAGGAGGTCGTCCCAGAGGAGTTGGTAGAATTGCCAATCCAAGGACGATTTGTCCTCCCAGGCATTGAGGATGTACTGCTCGTAGAGTTTCATGACCTCTGCCTTGCACCAGACACCCTCTCCCTTGGAACGTAAGGCTTCTTCGAAGTGCTCGAATGCGATTGGCTGCGGGACCATCTGAAATGACACTTTTTGTCCGTTTGGTCAATGTTCGTGTCTCGTGTCATAGTCGACGAAAATACAAACAAACAGGTTATATATGAGTTTGAGACCAAGAATGGTGTAACTCGACCTGTCCGATTCAAATTCGAATAAAAATTTTTTATTTCATGCAATGTTTTATTTCTGTGCCGTCTTCAAGTATGCCCCAGTACTTACGCTTGGAGAGGACATGAACTTCGGTGAAAATTTTGTCCAATTTGAATTGACCCATCTTTTCACCGACCATTCCCATTTCAATGAGTTTGTTATAGCCTTCTTCGTTCGTCATGAGTGCGTCGATGTTCTCATAGTAAACCTTGACTTTGGATTTGACTTCGGAGAAGAATTTGTTGTAGTTGTCAAGGACTGCCTTTGCGAACTGAGGGTAAGACCAATGTTCGACAATAGGTTTTAATGTGGTTACTAAGCCACTTTGACCTTGAGTGAATTCGTACTTCAAAACAAAAGGAGAACCTTTCAACAAAGTTGTCGACCTTCTCATAGTGTTTACTCTTCATCTCTTGAGGTTTCTTAATGGAATATCCCCATGTCGAATTCATAAGCAATTTGAGTGTCATTGCAAGTTTGGGGTTTGAAGCTTTCCTAATATCATACAGTTGTTGTATGACTTTTCCAACTGTATAGTTCCTTCCTGGGAACTCACCATCTTCGTTTGGAATTCCAGTCGGGATATATTGGACGAACCTCATGTACGCAGCGTTAAGGTCGACATAGTATATCTTTTCATCTGAGTCGAACTTGTCGCAACCAATGGGTCCAGTTCGTGGAAATTCAAGTGAGTCTCTTATCTTCTGAGAAACTTCTCCTGTTATCTCATAAACATCGTCGAAGCAACCTGTTTCATATAAAACCTTCTGACCTAACTCAGATGCTCTCCAATACAATTTGACGTCAATTGGATGTCTCAATGGAAGTTTGTTTATAGCATCTTGAAGTTCTTGCAACCTCATTGGAAGTTCTTCTGGTTCAGGTTGGTATCCGAACAATCCAACTCCTTTTGGAACTGTGTACTTCTTTTGTGCTAGAACTTTGTCTGGAACAACTTTTGGTCTTGCTAACAATGAAAAGTTTGTTTCGTCTTTTGGTACAAAAGTTTCTGTCAGCTTGTCATCTGGAATTGGTTCCAACAAACCTTTCTCGAAAAGAATGTTTACAGCTCTGACAATGTTGCACTTGCCTTTTCCGAACAATGGGTTTGTAAGACTTTCGTTCAACATGAAGTGGTTGTGGACAATTACAATCTTCAACCATGGTAAGTCTTTGTCAACAACATAGTCGTCATGTGAAGAACCTTTCTGTCGGTATGTTGACTCGGATATTGACATTTGCCAACGGTGCAATTTTGCCAATTGACCTCTGAGAATGTACCTTGTCTTCACACATGACTCAAGATACTTCATCTTCTCATCTGTAACAAGACCAGAGTTCCTGAGACATGTAAGAATACAAGGTTCATTGACAATTGTTTCAATTGAATTGTAAATTCCATACCTTGTCAAGTCAATGTCAGACTTATTTATGAACGGGAAGTATCCAGCATGTTGTCTGACTGCTTGAGGGTTAGGTTGGTACCATTCAAATTTTACACTTGCAATTCCTTCAATTGCATTCAAAATGTCTGAGTCGGAGTCAACCATTTGTTCTCTCTTTGTAGTCTTGAAAGCGTCAAGAAGTTGTGCGGCTGTTGTGACATTGCCATGTGCATAGTAAATGTGACCGTCCAAATCTGTTACGGTTAGTCTGAGATTGTATCCTTTCTTATTTCCGTCTTGTATGGCAGCA